ATCTGTGGCAAGAAATAACCATCAATATTGTTATTAAATTCACAAATTAATTTTTTCTGTGTTACGTAACTAAAAGTTTATTTGGTGTGAACTATAGATACCTTATAATGTAATAAACTAAAAAAAATAATTATAGATATATAAAATATCTTTAAAATATTATAAATACCGTTTTACAGGACCTTTAATCAAACTGCTGGTTGAAAGAAGGAGCTCTAAATAATAACTTCTCGAGTATCTCTTTAGAACTAAATATATCAACGTCGAAAGTTAATTAGGTAAGATCAAATAACTTCAAATAGAGCTTCTTTAACAAATCGCGTTTTAAAGCATTTTGGAACATCTGTCGCACACAAACCAGATTCGTTACTTACAGATATCCGTTCAGTATCCAGAAAATAAACACAGAAACACTATCTCTTATCTTTTGATTCTATTTATATATTTATTTACAACCACATATGTAATACTGACATTATTGACTTTTAAAAAATTTGAAAATGTCAAATTATCTACATTTCTTCCCTCTTATCCCCTATTTCCCTCTCACATTTCCCTCAATCGGTATAAAAATATTCTTGTAATATCTTTATTAAATATTTATCTAACATCAACAAAAATTAACAAGAAGATTAACAATAATAATTGAAGTTTTTAATACATTTATTTGTTGAAAAGTTTTGACTGGTAAAAATGCTAGACTTCTTTAGCTTAAAACCTACATTCTGGCGTTTTAAAAAAGCGACGAGTTTTGTGATATTTTGATATGTCAGTCTTTTCCCTTAATTCTAGCATTGTCCGTATCATGCTGTACGTAGCCCAAAGAGTAGATGGCTTTTTCTATCTTTCGGTGGCGTCCCACAGGGCTCGGTGCTGGGGCCAACTCTGTGGAACATAATATGTTCCACAAACCAGTGTATCATCCACAGTCTGTATTAGGTCGAGGTCGTTTATTTTTTTGTTTCTTTTAGTTTTTTTTGCTATTATCACAGCAAGATCATCGGCGTAACAGATCAACTCTGTCCCACCTGGTACAGTAAGCTCCCCATGACACTGTCGTATAATATTATTATACGACAGTGTCATGGGGAGCTTACTGTACCAGGTGGGACAGAGTTGATCTGTTACGCCGATGATCTTGCTGTGATAATAGCAAAAAAAACTAAAAGAAACAAAAAAATAAACGACCTCGACCTAATACAGACTGTGGATGATACACTAAAGATCATAGCCAGATGGATGCGTGAGCACAGACTCGAAATAGCTGTGGAAAAAACAGAGGCGATTTTACTGAGCCGCAAGAGAAAAGTTGACCATATAAGGTTTAATTTTAAGGATATAATAATAAATCCAGTAAAGCAAGTCAACTATCTTGGATTCCACATAGACCGTGCACTCACGATGGGCCTGCACATCGGAGGTCACACGGAGGTGTGTCTGAAATCACAACGAACTGCTAAAGCGTTGTCCGCAATACTGCCAAACGTTCGTGGCCCAACACCAGCAAAGAGAAGAGTGTTAGCATATGCGTGCCAGAATATTATTATGTATGGAGCACCTGTGTGGAACGAAGCAACCAATATGCACGTAAATAAATAAAAAAGACTTGAAGGTGCACAGAGAGTCATGGCTTTGAGGGTCTGCTCGGCGTATCGGACAACTTCAACTGAGGCAGCCTTGGTGATATCGGGTCTGGTGCCCTTGCATCTTCTCTCAAGAGAAAGAGAACGACTCTTTCTCAAGGGTGAAGTACAAACCAGGGCAAGCAGAGAGATGGAGAGAAACCGCACAGTGCAGCAGTGGCAGGCAGAATGGGAAGTATCACAAAAAGGAAGATGGACATATAAGCTCATCCCAAATATAAATATGTGGATTAAAAGCATGGAGAGGTAAACTTCTATCTTACTCAAATATTGAGTGGCCACGGAAATTTTGGGAGTTACCTGTGTAAAATTGGAAAGAGGGAAGTCGCGGAATGCCGATACTGTGCTGAACCCAATGATACTCCAGAACACACAATGTTTGCTTGTCCAAGATGGGAACAGGAAAGATGTGAGGCACGCATGACGATTGGTGGCAACATCTCCGCAGATACCTTCTTAAAATCGGTAACAGAAAGAAGAGAAAACTTTGAAGCCATCTCAAAACTGGCCCAAAATATACTAGAGGCAAAATACAGCGAAGAGCAGGGGTAATGACAAAAAAGGAACAGTCCGGCGTCTACTTGAGGAGATGCGTCCAGCGGGTCCAGGTAGACATGGCAGGAGCGAGGGGGTGACGTTTAGTGGGTAGTGTCCTCCAGGCAGCTTAAGGAAAGATTGAGTCCCACACTCCGTACGTAAAGGTATTTTACACCTCCAAAAAAAAAAAATTAAAATAAAAGATGGCTTTTTCTGCCTTGCCATGTCGCTAAAATATGCCATCAAGACTGTTTCCGAAGCAACAGAAATGCTAAGAATATTGCTTCTTAGCATTTCTTTCGGCACACCATTTTCGCATACTTTCAATGCTATTTCATATCGCCCCCTACTTTTCTCTGGAAGTAAACTGGCTTCTGCTCTTTTTGCAGCTTCTGTAAGTTCTGGTGGAGTACCAATATTAAAGTAGTCTTCATTATCAGAACTTTCCGACAAAATTCTGGCTTTCTATGTTATATAAATTCGAAAAAGCGAACGAGAAATTCAAAACTGTCACTTAGTTGTTTGTTTTGCTGTTGAAGGTTTAAGGTTTGCGCCATAACAACCACTGGTACCGGTAACTATAGATATGGAAATGCCAAAACAGAAAACGACAAATTTTCGCATATTTATTTTTTTTCAAAATAAAATACTGTCCCTATTTTTTAATTAATGATGTGGTTGTAAATAAAATAGTATACAAACCTCGGAGGAAAGTTTTCATTATTGTCTCGAGATCTGGAGAAAAGTTTTCATTATATATTTTTTTGTCAAACGGAAGATGCCGCGTAAACAAAATTTGCATAGCCCAAAGCCCTCCTCGTTTCTGAGCTATAGGGTCTTTTTAAAAATTTTGCTATTTTGGACACCCCCTGTATCTCTGATATTGTTAAAAGTACCGAGAAGGTCAAAACTGTTTATTGTAGAACATTTTACATATAATACAGTGGCGTAGTATGTTATTCTACGAAAATAATATTTTTAAAGATATGAATTAAAGTTATGGTTTCTTAAATGGAACACCCTGTATATTTATAAATTAAATGATCTGGTTTGCCATAAGCTTCTCAAAAATATATATCATTCTATATTTATTTTTTACTATTTACTGCAACATTTAAAAGTATTTTTTTAAAGATCATATTAGTAGGCCATGATTGATAATAAAAGTAACTAAAGAATTATTAAAAGTATATTAACTAATAAATTCTTTATATATTAAAGAAACTTAACTCTCTACCTCTATTTGTAAATCTTGGAAGCTATCGTACCGAAACTTTTAGATATTCCTTATTCTACACCAGATATTTCCTGTCAGTGGCGCATCTAGAGATTGAGTCTGGGAGGAGTAATGTGAATATTCAAAAAAGTACTAAATTTGAATTAAATTTTTGCTGGAAAGTATTGTAACTGTGGAAAAAATCTACTTGGATTGGTTTGGATATTCTGTTTTAATTTGTATTATTAACTTTTTTGTTACAATTTTATTTTATACCAAATTTTATCTTATTAATTAATTTCTTTCTGGGAGGGGTAATTGTATAGGGCTTGTTTCTCTCTACAATTTCCTGTTTCACAATGTACTGTTTGTGTCCGGGAAGGGATCATAGTTTCATCGTTGTCGATTTTCGAAAGAAATCACTACATGTATATTATTTCGTATATTATTCATTTTATTGATTTTATGGAAAGCACTGTTCATTAAAATGTTGTATCCTATGTTATAGGGCTCATTTCTCTCTACAGTTTCCTGTCTCACAATGTACCGTTTGTGTCCGGGAAGGGATCGTAGTTTCATCGTTGTCGATTTTCGAAAGAAATCAGAACATGAATATTATTTCGTCTATTTTTGATTTTATTGATTTTATGGAAAGAACTGTTCATTAAAATGTTGTATCCTATGTTATAGGGCTTCTTTCTCTCTACAATTTCCTGTTTCACAATGTACCGTTTGTGTCGGGGAAGGGATCATAGTTTCATAGTTGTCGATTTTCGAAAGAAATCAGTACATGTATATTATTTCGTATATTTTTCATTTTATTGATTTTATGGAAAGCACTGTTCATTAAAATGTTGTATCCTATGTTATAGGGCTCGTTTCTCTCTACAATTTCCTGTCTCACAATGTACCGTTTGTGTCCGGGAAGGGATCATAGTTTCATCGTTGTCGGTTTTCGAAAGAAATCACTACATGTATATTATTTCGTATATTATTCATTTTATTGATTTTATGGAAAGCACTGTTCATTAAAATGTTGTATCCTATGTTATAGGGCTTGTTTCTCTCTACAATTTCCTGTCTCACAATGTACCGTTTGTGTCCGGGAAGGCTTCATAGTTTCATAATTGTTGATTTTCGAAAGTAATAATTAAAATAAATTAATTTCTTTCTGGGAGGGGTAATTACCCCCATTACCCCTCCCGTATATGCGCCCCTGTTTCCTGTATTCTACGTAAAAAATTCTACAATATACAAATTTCACCTTCTCGTTACCTTTAACAATAATAATGATACGGGGGGTGTCCCAAATTGCAAAATTTTCAAAAAGGCCCTGTAGCTCAGAAATGAAGAGGGCTATGAAAATTTTGTTTACAGCATCTTTCGTTTGACACAAAATGTGACAGGTTTGTGCAAACCGCATCCTCCTATCCTTACTAATAAAGATGATACCGTATGATTTCAACCAAAATGGAACACCCTGTACAGCGACTTTACAAACGAGTTGTAAAATTAATGAATAGATGGTAAATTTACTACAATAATCTGTGGTAAGTTATTTTTTTAGTGTACTCTTATAAGGCTAGTAAAAAATATTAACTCACCCAGAAACTCTGTTATCCTCACTGTCACTATTCCTCCGTTCCTTTTTCAGCAAACTACCCCCGCCACTAACAACCCTCTCACTTTTTTCGGCATTATCAACGTACACCCCACCGCACGACGCGCCACTGGACACTTCCCTTTTAATCGGTCCTTCAGATTTTCCACGCTTTTCCTCTAGAGCATCCTTATCCACTCTCTCCTGATAGTGCTGATAAAAATGCTGATAGTAGCTCATTCTCGCTAACACGTGACTTAGGAGAAAATTTTGAAGAGACTTAAAAGAAAACCGTCGTCGACTATAAAAATGTAGAATTTTTTTTCGAATGCATTGATTGATTAATCTGAGATACTTTGACTGTTACTTGGTCTGTCTGTTGAGGATTGACGGTTCACTACGGTGCGTTGGATCGGGATATGCGAGTCTGGATTTGTGAACGAAGTGTGTGTATCCCGATGTTGTTTTCGTGCGTGTCTAAGGCGATCTTGAGTGGGATACAGGGGCGGAGTTACGTAGGTTATGGTTTATTTTCATACGCTAAGCTGTCTTCGTGTATCTGTCGGGAGAGTGTCGAGTGTGGTTCTTGGAATTCTAGGATTTTGCGAGGAACGGTACGCATCTTGAGACTGTCGCTTGGCGTAAAAAATCTACAAGGAAGCTTTTAATCTCGGTTTTGATTGAATTTAAGCTATTTTTACTAGTAGTGGGAACTATCGAATGAATACTATCGAAACATTCGATAGTTGCAATTCATTCGAATAATTCGATAGCTAGTAAAAAAACATCCGTCGAAAACTATTCGAATAAAAATTATCGAATAGATGCGTCATTTGCCTTGAAATATTGTATTCTAGTAATTCGGCAGCAAAAACCATTCATATATAAAATTCATTCATTTATTCGTCAGGATCGATTTTAATGAAATATAAACTGGATTTTAGTTGTCGTCCGGCGACGTAGGTTTCTTTCCTAGAAAATGCTATGAAAGAAGCCATCTTTGATTTTTTGCGGAGTCAAATATAGATAAGGACACATTATTTTTTTTATTGAGGTGCTAGTATTTACACAGAAAATACATTATGAAGGGCGCTGTTGCCATATATTCGTATTAGTTGGTATAAGCAAAGAATATTATTCTTTAGCATTAGTTAGTTAGGGATAGTATGTCTATATGTTTTGCATTTTTTTATTAATATTCTGTTGTTACACTGCAATAATACTTTTTATTTTGGATGTAGGAAAATGATTTTTAATGTTTTTAAGCAAAGACTGGTTTAATAAATAATAATAACAGTAATAATTTGTTATACCTATTAACAACAAAATTTAAAATCATTTAATAATATAAACATTTTTTTTTAAGTAGTAGCAAAATATAAACAACAAATAGAAGTCAAAAGTATTTATATTAGATCCTATTTAAAAATAATATAGTCTCTAAATGGCAACGTTGGTTTATTAAATAATAATAATTACAGAACTAATTTGTTATATTAACAACAAATTTTAAAGTCATGACATATAAACATTTATTAATTTTCTAAGCATGCAGTGTAATGGAAGGAAAATATAAATAAAAAATTAGAAATCAAAATTATTCATATTACTTTTTATTACTTTATATTACTATTTAAAAATAATATTTACTTTTACTGGCATTTACTTTAAAAAATAAATGAAATATTTCTTCGCAAAAAACTACATGTATGAGAATTAGCATAAACAAAATACAAACATTGTTAACTTTTTTTTAAATTGGCACGTGTAAAACTTTCAATTTAATTTTTTCAATTTTATTTCGAAAATTTTTTCCAAAATTTGAGTTCGATAACCACATTTACGTAACCACATTACTTAAATATGATTATTAAGTTCAACTAATTCATATTATTAAAACATCTAAAATACAAATATGTATTTTTAAAATTAATTGTAAGTTGATCTCATCTCTCTTAAAAATTGCTACTTCTCAAAATTTCCCATTAAAAAATGCAATCTAACCTAACCATAATATACCATATAAAATTAAATAATTGAAAGATCGGGCTATGGAAAATCACACAAATTTTCGGCAAAAATTTTGACCAATTCGCACACAATCGTCAATTAAAAAAACTACTATTTTAGTATTTTAAATATTTTAATAAACGCAAAAATAGCATAGTATTTACAAGGCGAAGTTATAAAAATTTGGAAGAACTAATAATGCACTGACGCACACAAAAATCAAACGAATACTAATTTCATTTATCAAAAGCATTCGATAGTCGTGGCTCGTGGCGCAACGATAACCATTTAGTCGCACGGCGAGGTTGTCACATATGCTTTAGTATACAAATGAATGAATGATTTTATTCGAATAAAACCATTCGATAGTTGAAATCATTCATTCAGTAACCATTCGATAGTCTAATTCATTCGATAGTTCCCATCGCTAATTTTTACACTGAGATGCAAAAAAAAACCGAAGTGTTAATTTTTTTTATTTTTAGCCCTATTTTCATTATTTTTTTAGCAAACTGTATACAGGGTGGTCCGAACTGTATTCCGGAAACTTCGGCAGCATATTCTGCAGATTAAAATAAGTAAAAAAGTCCGCATAAATGTATGTCCTAAAATGCTTAGTTTCGGAGATACAGGGTCTAGAAGTTTTATTTTTATTTCGAGATTTTTTCCAAATAATTTAAGAAGTAACGTCAATATTTGGATGAAAATTGGCGTCTGGGAGTTTTTTGACATGAGAAATTTGATTTTCATGTCAATATGACTCCTACTTGTAGAGGGCGCCACCTACATACACTTTAACTCGTTTGAAGAGTAATAACTTTTCGTCTATACCTGTATAAAACTACTGAGTAAAAAAATAGACATTTACAACTTTTTTTACATAAAAAAGGTCTCTTGGTAAAAATCGCTACGTGTAACGGTTCTCGAGATATTTGAAATTGAAATTATCAATACCTGTCATCATTGACAAATTTAAACATGTTGACTAAATGGTTATTAGACTGAAATCTTAAATTTGAAATGTTTTTGTGCCAAAAGTTCAACAGAAACTGTTTAATCATCATTTTTCCACAGAAAAAATTCAACTCGGCAACTGGAATTCGTAAACAGACGCGTTTTAGCTTACATCGTGTTTAAATTGCTTTGGATAGGTTTGTTGGTTCATTTTTGGGTTTATTTTCGTCTTTTCTTGGTACTTTACTGATGTCTAAATTACAGTATCTACCAGTTTAAGTTCATACCTACACAAGAAAAGGGTTTAGATTGTAAAGCAGGAACATGTTTTCATGTAAATGACTTCAGTTATTCGAAAGTCGGAAAAAATACATTTTTATGATTTTGTGTCTGGAGAGGCTTCTATACAGGGTGATTCTTAACTACGCATAAACTTGAGAAATTATTGCTCATGACAAATAATGACTAATAATGAAAAAAAATGTTAGTAAAGTATTTTTAGATTCTGAAATAATTTGAGTTTTTTTTTTCACAAAAATTTATCAACTTTATTAGTGCACATTCAATTTAATTGAATTGACGTATTTTGTTTTTATTTCAAACAGTTTGTTATCTCCGTAAATAAAAATATTTTACTAACTTTTACTACTTTATTTGTCATTTCTCAACTTTATGCGTATAGACAATAGATTAAGAATCACCCTGTATATTGGATGTTTTGTTGTTTTTTATAAATGATTTCAAGTAAAAAAAAACTTCACCCGGTATCGCTTATACATAGATTAGTGTACAAGTTCCTTTACCAACTCTAATAAAAACATAGTAAATATCACCGGTCACTTTATTTTTGGATTTAGTACAAAATTAATCTCCGCTTTGCTAATGACAATTAAAATTAAAACATACGAACGCCTCTAGAAATAAATGGCTCTAGCCATAAAGTAAATTAACGTTTCGCGACAGCGCATTTACCATAAAACCGTACGTTTCTCTCAAAATATATCTCGCCTCTCGCCTAATAACGTGACGTACACGTTTTATAAATGCCTATCGATATTTTTGTGGGCAGGCTGCCCATCGCCTGACGACACGCCTAAATAGGCGGAGCCTGGATTAGTTAGTTAAGTCGACAATGCGCGTCCCGATCGACTTCAGCTGATTGAGCGTTGTATTCGGGGACTTCTTCCATATACATATAACTAAATATACTCAGGGTTCCCTATTTAACCCCGTGTGCTGTTTCCGTGCCGTAAGAAAAAGACAACATAACTCAGCTCCATTTAGAATTTTAGAATTTAGAATGAGTGGGAGGGGGGTTAATCACTTCGACCTTACAGATCCATTGTGTCCCCCTTTCTTGAATCATAACTCATCATACAGTCCCAGGGCTTTGACAAAAGCCAGTATCTGGGACGGTTTTATAGAGGGTAGTTCTCCATCTCCAATATCAGTCGTACCAAAATTCATGGCACGAATGGTTGTCATCTCGGCGCACTCAGTGATGAGGTGTACTGGTGTTTCCCCATCTTCCCCACAGAATCTGCATTCGCCGTTTCTTCTTAGTTTCAATCTACTGAGGTGTTCGTTGAGGAGACAGTGTCCTGTTAAAAACCCCGTGACAATCCGAAGATTGTTCTTACTCAGACCCAGGAAGATCTGTGATTTTTCTTCATCATAAGCCCTCAGAAACTTCTTCGAGTGTCTTAGACCATTGGAAAATTTCCATTCCAGGTTGCGGATGGAATCTTCCAAGTTCTTGAGTTCCGCCTTGAGTTGGTTACCACTTGGAAAGCAGAACGGTTCTGGTTCAGTTAGTGGAGTGTTCGCTGCTTTCCTAGCTAGATTATTTGCTTTTTCATTGCCTTCTATCCCTTGGTGAGCAGGCACCCAGTGTAGGAGGACTTTGTTTTCTTTGCCTAATTTATTCAGCTTCTCTATGCATTCTTTGACCAATTTCGAATTGATTGATACTGAGTTGATCGCCTTTAACGCTGCTTGACTATCGACAAGATGGCTATTTCTTGTTTCCGATAGTTCCTATCTAAGATAAGTTGTACGCATCTCTCGATAGCGTAGATTTCTGCCTGTTGGATACTAGGGTAAGTGCCCATTGGTTCGGAGTAATTAGCTCTCGGCCCAAACACTCCGATCCCTGTTCCCGTATTGGTTTTGGAAGCATCAGTATACCAAGTTATGGTATGGTCTTTTAACTGCTGGGCAAGCGTTTCGCTCTTCCAATCCTTCTTATTGTTCAATACTACATTGACATGTTTGTCAAAGTTGTACGTTCTTGGCATATCGTCCACTGGGAGTTGCAGGAGTGGTATAACTCAGCTCCATATATTAATGCTGCATAAGTCTATTTTACCTGGATATTGATTGAACTGCGATTGCGCCAAACTCCGATTGATTGTTGTTTTAGTTCTGTTTGAATTACTTTTTCTTTATGCGCGTAAAAGAGTGAGTTTGTTTAGTTTATTGTTTCCAACTATTTTTTGATATTTT